GTTGTGAAGGTGGTGCAAATTTGAAAAATTCCTTTCTCCGCTGCACATGCAACATTTCCTAATCATTGGTGCAGAATGGTCAAACTGTGCACATGAGTTTAAATTCAGCATTTGATATAGTGCCTTCCATGTTGGGAAGACATCCCAAAGCTTCATCTTCATAAGACTTGTTATGAAGTGTAGTGACTGCATATTTGTAGGCAAACACAGGAGGCTATTTGCAAACAGCAATGTCCCACAAAAAGCCGAGAAATGAATGCCCAATTATATTTGGGGTTGTTGGCTCGGTCACTGGAAGAAGCTTCCTTCACCTTTCAAGTCCACCTGAATAACTACAGGCAAGACCTTGCTTTATCATGTCAGCCAAAGGACAGCACCTCCAACAATGCAGTGCTCACCCAGCATTACATTGGAGCGTCAACCTAGATGATGTGAGTTCAGATGGTTTGAGGTGGTTTAGGAAATGTACTTTGGAGCAGCCAAGGAAAATCTTGCTTGATCTTGCTTTTCAATATGAATATAGACTGTAAAAGTCTTTCTCGTCTTTTGTGTTTTAAGCAAGAGGTGTCAGTATAGTTACCAAAGGAATTGCTCACTTATGGCAGCCAAGTGTTCAGATTGACATTGCTTTCCAATCCTTCAATATTGTCTCTTTTTATCATCGTGAAGCAGGGTTCCCAAAAGGCTGATTTTTCACCCAATAGTAGAGAAGGTGAACTGAATTTAGACTGTGGTAAGGTAGGTTAGTTTTTTCTTATTTATGTGCTTTTACAATAAGAATTTTTTTCAATTTAGCACCTGTTAACCCTGTAATCCATTGCGTTAATCGGTAGATTGGTTCCAGTGGGAAGCTTCCCAGACAGTGCTCTCAATAGCAAGCCAAGTAGTTTTAGGTGGTAAAGTTCCAGTAGTACCCCAACATACAATCTGAGATCCCCAAACCTTGGTTTTTAGTACCATGTGCCTAATAATCCCCTAAATTAGGGAAATAGTTTACATTCCATTCCAAACACAAGGAAATGTCCATCCCATTGCATACATGGAACGTGTCTGGTTTGCACACTCTGAAGTATGGTGATGGATTTCCGCATGTGTCCAACACCCAACTAACCAAACAAAAATAAATAAAACCTCTGCAATATCAAAACGTTTGCTATCTTATTGGAATGAAGAATGCCTATGTGATGTGAAAAAGTATGCAGTACATTTTTCACCCCTTCCCACGATGTAATCTCTCTTTTTCAATCCCAATGGAGAAGTAAAATTGCAGACATCAAAGAATGAATGAACTGCAAGTCACCAACAAAAGTGTTAAAGCCCCACTTAGTGGACAGGCTGGGTTAGGCAGCAATGTGCTGTGTATCGCTGCTAGCTTTAGGAAGTGCCATGCTGATCTTTGAGCTGGTGTTGGCTTAGACAGTGTTGAAAGCAGAGCTCCAATGTAACCCCCTGCCCCCCCCCACCCATACCGTGACTTGGACCACACAGAGTAAATTCTGAGTTTCTATCAGATCCAGCGTTGGTGTTTGCAGAGTGCAGTTTGCATCGATTCATAGATGAGTTATGAAGTGTGTGTAGCCAATTTAATGTTAAATAAATAAATACTTCTTCTCCCACTGTGAATGAGAGAAAAGTGTTGAGTTACCCAAAGCCCTTCCAGAAGACTTGTGATCACTTTGCTGTGAATTCCACCTGGTAACTCAGAGCTAATCACACAGCAGCAAGCAAGAAAAAGAATTTAAACTACTTTACATCTCAATCAGAATATACAAAGAAGACAAAGTAGACAAACTATACGTACAGTAGACAAAGAAACATCCCGAGCGTTGAACATTTTAATCTTGTTTCGAAATGTTGTCATCGTGTTATTTCCTCTCCTGCCACCCCAGTTCTCAATGCTGATGGCCATTAAACTAGATTAAGCACTGTATTTGACTTCCATGACTTACAGCTTGCAAATTGCTGCTTTTGACTGTGGGTTACTGAGATTGTAGCTTTATTCTCAGGCTTTTTGATTTGTAAAGGCTGGGAGCTGGGAAAACAGTGTGCAGCCTGGCTTCACGGACATAGACATTGAGAACGGTGTGGAGGTTGTGGGGGTGGTGGGGGTCACCTCCATCAGGTCTGGGTAATCCGATACTTAAGGAATTTCTAAAATTAGACTGCAAGTCAGATCCCAGAATCCACGAAACATCATACACGAAGAACGGTTTCTGGAACAAAATACTGACTGGTGTTTAAATTTGATTCAAATGATACAGTGGCTTCTGTAAAATATGAAAAATTTGTATTGAAGTTAACTTATAATGAAGGTTGGTAAAATTAGAGACAAAAAGAAAAGAAACAAAATTTTAAGCCGATCCTCGACACTGAAGCTCAAATGATAATAATTGCTGCATATGATATTGTATCAAATCACATTTAAGTATCTGAAAGCCCTTTACAGTTTTCTGAGAGGCGAATGAACAATTTATCTGGAGCATTGTGTCCAGGACACATGATTCTTTTTAAATAGAACCATGGGATCTTCAATGACCACCTGTACAGGCAGACGGTACCTCAATTTAACATTTCATCCTAAGGACAGCACCTCTGATAATGCGGTCTATTGATTGATTTTAATTAAAATAATGATTAAAAGTAATAGTTTTAATTTTGCTGGAATGAGATTCTTCTCTGTGATTACAAGCCCCACTATTCTGTATGGTATTGAGTGAGATTTACCAGATTTAGATGCTGTTCTAAGCTGAGTTTGAGTTCACTGATCTCAGCCAGGACAGTGTTGGGAGGGCTCTAGCTGGCATCAGTGATCTCACACTAGGGAAGGGAAAAAATCAATCCAGGTATTATTTCAATAAATTCAAAAATCAATCCTGCTCTTAACCACGTCCAGTGACTCTTAAAGTGTATGTGCTGTGGGTGTTGTTAATGCCAGGATTTTCCTTGCCTTCATATCACAAGATCACAAGATCGGTTTGGATGAAGAAAGTCCTTCAGACCATTTCATCTCATCTTTTCAGAATGCACATCGTACTGTTCTTCCATCACAGTATCAAGTGTTTTTTTTTAAAAACATTCCCGTGTCCTGGCCTCAATCACCTTTTCGGGAAACCTGTTCCAGTCATGAATTACCTGCTGGGTAAAGAAATACATCCCAGTGTCTGTCCTAGAATTATCCTTTTGCAACTAAATCTTGTGAGGAAAAAGCATATGCACATTGATCCCCTCCTCCACCCTCCCCTAAAATGAACAAAGATACCCGACAATGAGTTACTGTCTTCAGGGAAAGAGATAAGAAATGTTTCGCAAACTATTTTCTGGTGACTTTTTGTACTCAAAAGTTGAGAGATGTCAGAATGGGGAATGGAAGACTTTCTCACTTTACGTATCCGGGCACTGAAATTCTGTTTGGCGTTCTGTGTGGCATTTTGTTGTTATGTGAGAGTAAATCCCATTCAAGGTCAACACCATCAATCTCACTGAATAGAACCATGATTGGAATATCGGCCTTCTTGTATCAGGTCTATTATGTCCCAAGCATGTGTCCCAACTCGAACATCAAAATCCACCGTACCACTGTGACCTCCTGCAACCCTACTGCCCCCACCACTCCCTTTACCATCTTCAAAATCTGCATTAAGACCTGTTTTGTCAAACAAGCTTTCAGCCTCTTTACCCGCTTCCCTCAGTTTGGCTCTGTAGTCAGCACCAAATACTTTGAAATGTCCTCCCGACGTGAAAGGCTGTAAATGTAAAATGATGCTGTTATTCTTATCCCCAGCAATAATTAGAACATTGCATATAGTTTCCCCTCAGCTTCTTTGTCAGATGCAATGAGGACAGTGCATGCATTGTACTCAAGTGAGGAGTTACCTTAATTTGATGCTTAGTACTGCAACCTGTTCCACTGTCTCCTCACTGTGATCAGTGGAACACGTCTTATTGCTTACTCTGCAGGCTCTTCTCTTTCTGTGCTCTAAATTTCTATGATTCTATTCATATCGATTCATACCAATTGGTATGATTTGCAATTTTTTCAAATTAAAAAANCTTATTAACAGAACTTGTAACATAAACCTGTTTGAACACATAATACAAGTGGAGTGCTTACAGTCCCTGTCAGAAACACTGTTGGAGCCAATTATGCAATTAACAGAGATGTAAAATCTCAGATCTTTTCTCAAATTAAAAGTGAAATTAATACTATACAATATAGCCATTATTCATATTTGAGGTTGACGGACAGTGGGGAGAAAAAGAATAAGGATATGCTGCACATCCAAATCAGAATGTACAAAAAAGCAGCGGTTGACAAATCTGTCAGTAGTTGGCAAGAAATCAAAACAAAAGTAAATCTGCTAAATAATAAGGAATTTGCTGTAATCTCCAACTGTGATCTGCTTTTATTAAAACAGCTGGGTTCTAAATGATTTACAGAGCCACGTAATTTATTCCAATTGTCTCCAGTAACATCACTATTAGCTGCAGCATAATATTGCAGAGCAGCGCATCAAGCCTACTGAATACACCCTGCGAGATCGGTGTCTGTGCAGTGCATAGAATCCAAGAACAATTTTGTGCCTGATCAAAAGAAGTTTTAAGGTGGGCTGAACTGCATCAGGTTCCCAGCAACAATATGCTGCAGGGGCTGGACTACAGTACATGCTTGAGGTCATGTAACCACTCATTTTGAAAGACGATCCCTCTGCACTGTGGCATCAGGCATCTTTAGCATAGGGGCGCACTCGTACACACATTCCTGTCAAGCCTTCATCTGGGTATTGCTGGCTCGCTGCAGCCTGACTTGACTGCTGTGTTCTTCAGTGAGGACAAAGGGGGAAGTGCAGAACTGCAGCAGAGTGTATGGGTGAAGGAGCTTATATATACAAGGACACAGCTGAATTTAACTCCAGTGCTGAAGTGAATGGACTGTTAACCAAACACTTCATTTAGTTTTTTTGAAAAAAAAGTTTTTGATATTATCTGTTCGCTCTTTGTTCCTAAAGAAAAAGTATAACTGGTCAGATACCTTGGTCAGATATCTGACGAAAGATTGTTTTTCTACCTTTCTGTGAATTGCACGAATATTTTGATTCTCACCCCCAGTTCTCTCACCGTGATATTTGAGGAAAAAACGCGAAAGAAAAGAGAGTGAAATCGGAAAAGGAGATGCGGGCAATGGATTTGCTTTGTGCGGCTTTGCTGTGTGCAGTGCTGACTAACTCGGCCTGTAGCAGCCAGCGGAGGGGCACGGACAGCAGCGGCAGACGCTTCAACCGAATCCAGCACGGTCAGTGCAGCTACACATTCATCTTGCCAGAGCTCGAGGGGAACTGCCACGAAGCTTCAGAACGTTATGACACCAACGCACTTCAGAGGGATGCTCCGCACGTGGACAGTGACTGGTCCTCGCAGAAGCTGCAACACCTGGAGAATGTGATGGATAACAACACACAGTGGTTACGAAAGGTAGGGCTAATGACAGCCAGTGCTCTGTGCGTGCAACCTGCTGAATCTCCCAATGCCTCCCAATGTAGTGACTAACCCAAACTTTTAGGTTCAACTCGCTGCCAGGACAGATATGCAAATCAAAATGCTCACCGCTGGCAAAATTAAATCACAACTAGCGAGCAAGAGGTAATGTCAGGGAAGCTTACATTACTGCATGTAAAGTGAATGCAATGTGAATCGTTGTTACAGACGTGAATGCTTCTAAGCGAAACTGGCAGTTCTATTGGAGGCTATGAAGGGTTCACTTGCTCACTGTGCTTTTCAATATACTGGAGCTCTGATAAAAGTCCAGTTCCTTCTCACAAAGAAACGTTGATTTTAACCAGGAGCTGAATCTTATCAATGAGGAAACTGAGTTCAAAGTAACAGTTTAGGCTTCTTTAAAACTGAAAGCTGCTTCCTGATCTTAAGAAGCCAAGTGAGTCATGCATATTTGTGGTTTCTATCTGCATTTAATGTTTGCTCTTTGTGTTCTCTGTATATATTGTGAAATACATTTCATGTATTTGTGTTATTGTGTTGTGATTCATTTTATGTTGTGTGCGAACTGGCTATAAGTCATGTTCTGTGCACTTATGTAGACTGTTTATTCAAGGTGTGTTTTTGCGCCTCTTGTACATGGGTAATGATAGCTGCATGCCTTTGTGTTGCATAAGTATGTGTGTTGTGTGTTTTAATAACATAACAACATAAGAATTTGTTAGGTGAAAGAAGACCAACCTGGCAGTCATTTTATTTGGCATGTTTGTATTGCCTTTTGCATTTTTGTTTCTTCAGAGCGTGCTTGTTTCAGCAGCCACTTTCACTCGTGTACAATCAGGTGCTCAGTAAAATTGTAAGCCCACAGTACCAGCCACAAGGGGATTGCCCCATTAAAAGAAATCTAACGCACCAAGAGGAACAGATAATATTGCACAAAGGCAGCTTCGGACATAATGACAGATGAATTAAAGATTCCTAACTTAAAAAGGTTGTGTTATTGCATGACCCTAGTTAATTTCTGTTAGAGGTGAAAATAGGTAAATAGCATACAATGAAAATAATAATAATCTTTATATTTTTATAGCGCCTTTCAAGTTAGGAGAATGGCTCAAAAGCGCTTCAGAGGATATACTGCAAAGTAGAGTGACTGTGTATTTTGAGAATGAGCATGTCGCTATAAACAACATATAAACAAGTTCCTAACCATGGACCTTTTCTATAGGGGCATAAATGCAATGCAGTGGCACAGTTAAAGAGGAACAGCACAAACCTAAATTTATCATACTCTGCCTCATACACTGCTCAAAAACTTTATTTTCATTTTAAGTTATTGCATTTGGAAGATGGGCAGAAATTCTGCAGAAATAAACCCTCCCATCCCCTCCATCCCCATCGCCACCCCCGCATATTACTTTTAACTGTGAACTTTACAAAAAAACTTGCCCTTTTAAAGCACATAGTGAAAGTGGAGAGGGATATGCATCCTTGAGATGCTTTGAAAATCTGACCTTTAAGAAGCACACAGAAAATTCATAGCGCCTGCTGCCTTAGTGAGTTGCTCCAGTTGGAATTCAAGGAAGCTTTTCAGTCAAGTTACTTCACCTCCGGTACTGTTAAGTAATGTATCACCGAAAAACAAAATCAACATATTTTTTCCCCATTTGTTGTACTTCCTATTAAGTTAAGTGAAGACACGTGAGCTGTGCAATAAGTCTGCGGTCTTTAAATTGGGAAATACAGAATTTTTCTTTAATTGCATGATAATGATTATTGGCTCTCACTGAGTGCTTGTTTCTGGCTAGTGGGGACTGATTGTTTCTGACAGGAAATACGTTGATGTTGGTACATGTCCATGTCACTGATTTGGAATTTTCCAGATGCATAATTGAGACGAATGGGAGTGCAAGAAGCAAAAGAACAGCAAAATAGTAACCTATTCAGAATAGGTGGGGCTGGCCTTTCAGCAACAGAGATAAGAGGGGCAATTACACCCCCCCACCCCGGTGATCTTCAAGTGTAAGTATGGCGTCTCATACCCCTTGCTCGCCGTCACTCTCCATGCCGCCTTGTACACCTTTGTGAGAAGCAGTGCGGAGAGTGACGGGAAGAAAGGCGGAGTAGGAGGGGGGCACAAACCACCACCAGTTACAAAACCTGGCTCCCCCACTGCTGCCTTTAGGATCCCTTTTTCACTAATAACAAACAGAACTAACACTGATAATATACATGAAAACCACATTAATGGCCTAAGTACAAAATGTTCACCTTCTTATTTATTGCAGGAAATTGAATTCCTCAACCATTCCACTATGAGTCTATTTTAACTCCTATGTCAGTGAATGTTATTTCTTCCCCTATCAGTAGAGTGTGAGATAAGATACTGTAAACTGTGACTATTGAAGCTGAAACCTCCTGTGCGTTGAAGGAATACCAGCTGGGTGCACTATAAGGCTGTGTATGGTGAGGAAACCCGTTGCTTTATTGTAGGTTAACAATGGTGTTTATAAGACACATATGATCACATTTATATGACAGGAATTACCGGTGTCTTTCATTGTGTAAATAACCAAATGAAAAAAATTGGCTATTAATTCCGAGATTAAAACCTTTCCATTGATTAAAACCTTAATGTCTGTCAGACATCAAGTCCTGAATGAGAGCTAATTTTTCTCAGTTGAATGTCAACAAGACTGAGTCTCTCCTGATTGTCTCCCGTCAGCATCTCCACACCTCAGGCACTGACAGCATCACCATTCATGGTTGCACCCTCCACCTTGCTAAGCCAGTCTGGAACCTTGGGGTCTTGTTTGACCCTCAACTATCCTTTCTACCCCACATCTGTGCCACGACCTGCTCTACCTTCCACACCTCCGCAACATCGCCCGGCTCTGCCACTGTCTCACACCGCAGGACACTGAAACCCTCATACACGGATTCATAAAATTGAGCCTTGATTATGCAAAATCCTTGCTTGTTGGCCTCCCCAATTCATCCCTCTATAGGCTGCAGATCATCCAGAACTTTGCAGCCCATGTCCTCTCCCGCACCAGGCTCTGTGACCCTGTCACCTCCATCCGACAGAGGATTCCCATCACACAGAGGATACAGTTCAAGATCCTGGTCCTCCATGGCCTTGCTCCCACATACCTATGTGACCTCCTAACCCCTACTATCCTGCCCACTCCCTCCACTCAGCGGGTCACAGCCTGTTTCCCGTGCCCCAGCTCGCTCGCCCAACATTAGTGGGCAGGCCTTCAGCCACTCTGCCCCCACCCTCTGGAATTCCATCCCGCAATCCCTCTGCCTCACCCTCTCCCTTGCATCCTTCAAGACCTCTTCAACCATGCTTTCGATCACCCTGCTTCCCCCCTGCCCTCCACCCTCCCGATCCCGACCTCCAGCTTGGGTCTGAAACTCTGATTGTCCAGTGCCTTGGGACATCCTCCCGACATGAAAGGCACTATACAAATGTAATTTTGTTGTTCTTGTTGTTAACCACATAATTAAGAGCACCTGTAATTCCCTCTTTGCAGTTGTGTTTGCACATGTTCTGCACATTGCGCACAATGCACCTGGATTTGCACATGATTTACATGCAGTACATAAGAGTCCCCGATGTTAGCCAGTTTTAGTGCTCACAGTCGCTCTAACTATCTCAATCCTGTAAAACACAAGCATTAGAAATGCATAGCAAGCCAAATAGATCCTGAAAGAGAATAAGTAGTTAGTTTTTGGACTGTGATGCTTCAACAGGAAACAGGACTCAGTTCTGATGAATGGTCAAGCCCCAAACCTTAAGCTGTCTTTTTCATCCAAAATCTGATCTGCACAGCCTGCATTGTTTTAGTATTTTCTGTTTAATGCAAATCTACAACTTTTATGCGTTTTTCCCATTATCTCCGTCTTTCAGATGAGACATTAAACCGAAGCACTGTCTGCCTGTTCAGGTGGATGTTAAAGATCCTATGGTACTGCTCAAAAAGAGAAGTCAGTTTCTTCCAGTGTCTTTGCCAACATTCCCCCATATAAAATTATCATTCACTTCACAGTCTGAAGGCCATGGAGAGAGCACAGAGAAGATTCACTAAGATGATACCAGGGATGAGAGGTTTTAGTTATTAGAAGAGATTTAGTGAAAGGGAAAGACTAGGAAGAAACTAAGACTGTTTTCACTGAATCAAAATAGAAAGACTTGAGAGAAGCATTCACAGGTATGAGGGATTTTGATAAAGTAAACAGGGAGAATCTGTTTGTACTGATCAGTGAGTGGATATCGAAAGCCATAGTTAAGATCCTTACAAAAAGCTAAGGGAAAGGTTAGGACATTTTATTTACACACAGAATATTGTTAAGACCTGGAATGCTGTACCAAAAATTGTGATTGAAGTATAAACTATTACTTTTTAAAAAGAGAATTAGAATTTTTTTTGAAGAAGGAGTAATATTAAGTGTAGAAAGGACTGAGAAGCGGGACTGAATAGGCAGCGTTTTTAAAGAGCCAGGACAAAGCCAATAAACAATACAGCACTGCTGTGCTATAAATTCTATGAGCCTATAATCAGGTGTTTATTCTTTATGTCTTGCCAGTCGTGATGGATAATCTAAAAATTGCATAAGAGGTCAACGGAGGCAGAATATAGGCTATAGACTTGACTGCTGGAACAAGGTGAGACTGAAGTCAGCTTCCCAAATGTAAAATGTTGCTGAACTAAATTTAACTGCATTGTAAATACAACAACAAGATTACATTTATATAGCGCCTTTCACGTCGGGAGGACGTCCCAAGTAAACCTCATGACATTCTCCAGTTTTTCACACGTAAACATAGTTGGCTTTGCTCAAGTGAATTTTGGAATGGTTGTAGTAGTCGTGAAGAACACAAATTAATTTTAATGTCAGAGCCAAGGAGCCTGGATTTTTCCAATGGATTCCTCGCTGGTTTCCCCAGCTCTGCCATTCATAAACTCCAACATATA